CTATGCACTGTTGACATCATACACTGATATGAATAATTTCATTGTGGTTTATGCATCAGGACTGAGCTTATGCAACTGGATAGTTTTACTCGGTTTACCAGGCACATGCAGACATCCTCTCAAGGCTTTATCCTGGGCACATCGTTTATTACATGAGAAAGATGGTAGTTTAATGGTTGCAGATTTATGGACTATGATGATCTTTAGTGTTGTAGAAGTGCTTTAACTGTGACAGAAAGTATTAATGGTAACTAAGCACATGCTTTAACTGCTAACTATTAATATTTTATGCTTCTAGAATTTTTTTTGTTGTCGTTGCATTTAATACACTGTTAAAAAATTCCAGATTTTCACAACATGTCACTGTAATTTTTTTTTTACAGTAAATTACATTAGTATCACTTTACAGCATTTAACTGTAAAAAGGCACAGTAATGTGTTGTATTCAGAGTTTTATTGTTAAATTAATGCAGGTAGCATGATTACAGCAAAATACTGTAAAAAGAGCTATATTTGCATTTTAATTCAAACTATTTTATTCAACATAGACATTAAGGGTGCTTTCACACCTGTGAATCGATTCAGTTGTTCCGAAACAGAGATTACAATTGTTACATTGTTGCTCTTTGCTCTTGGAGCGGTTCGCTTTCACACTGCAAAGTTTCTAAACAGACCAAAAGAGCTAAAACAAGTCACGTGCGAGTAAACGCGAGGATGCCTATTTGAGGACCGAGAGGGAGACGCGAGCGGCAAAATTACCGGGAGATCATCACTCGTTTGCGGGCATCCGGAGACTCGCGAAACTTCCCGCCCTACTCATAATTCTCTCTTCATATAGCCGTAAGCCTATTACATATCCATAAAACACTGTGATATAATCGCGCCCGGATCGGATCGTTTTCTCACTGCAATCGAACCGCTCCAGGGTTCGTTTCAATCGAGCCGAGACCACCTCATTCAAGCGATCTCGGAGCGATTACTTTGGTGCGGAACAGAGCGCGATTGCCCTGTTCACATATGCCAAACGAACCGCGCTAACTGGGCTTACGAGACAGGTTCCGAAACAAAATTGTTGGTGTGAAAGCACCCTAACAGTGGTGTAAAGTAACTAATTACAAATTACTCTTATTCAGTACTTTTTCTCAGAAATTGTAAGTTACTAAGTAGTTTTAAAAAATTGTGCAGTATTTAGTGCAGTATCTGTATTATTTTTTTCTTGTCTGTGGGGATTAGTAAAATCAGTCCTGTGATTCCTATCGAATCCCACATAGAAGGTAAATCACATCATAATGAACAACCTCAAGACATGGGCGATTAATAAATGCAGCAAACTGTTTAGAAGCATTAAAAGTGTCCAAAAAGATGTCCTAAATTGAAATGAAATGAAAATCGGGTTGACGTCAGAACTCAATGTCAGACCAACGTCAATGTCAACGTCAATGTCCAACCAAATATTAACGTCCAATGATATCACAGCTTGAAGTTGTGTGAACGTTACCACTATGACATCTATCAGATGTTGGATTTTGATTGCCATACCATACCTGATGAATAAATGTCAGTACCTGACAAGTGTCAATATGATGTTGGTTTAAGATGTTCGCTTGACATTTAATTTTTGGTCACTTCCAACACAACCTAAATATCAACGTAATTTGACGTCATTATTGGACATCAAAATAACGTTATCCTTAGACGCTGGCTAGACATTGAATTTTGATCACTTGACATCACAACCTAAATCCAACCTAATATTAACGTCCTATGACGTTGTGTGCCTGCTGGACAATAATTAAATGCACTACAGAATGTTATGTTTACACACATCCACAAATTACATGTAAACGCATCAGCTTTTCACAGCGTAATACTCACTAATCACTACTAATGAAAGGGCTACTTTTTAGTCATACTTTGAGTAATATTTACAACAGATACTTTTGATCTACTTGCACTACATTTTTAGGCAAGTAATGGTACATTTACTTGAGTATAATTTTTCAGTACTTTTTCCACCACTGGACATTAATACAAATTAACATTTGTAGTGTTGGAACTTTTTTTGATATTTAGAAATAACTGAATGTTATTGCAGCCAAAAATCTTCAAAAATTATTTGCAAGAAAAATCATCCTGTTTTGAAATGACATGAATGTCAAAGTAAATTAATTTTTATCACATTTATTTAATTTTATAAGGTTAACATGGAAATATGGGATCATCACGTTGTGCTTAGCCAAAAATGTAATAAACGGGAACAAAAGCATTTGATTCATAAAACCAATGGTTTCAAAGTCAGGGTAAACGTCAGAATGACTAGCTGAGAAAAGCCTGCTTCACAGTAAAATATAGTTAATTCTACAAGATAATACTGTGAAATCACAGTAGTGGATGTTACTATCTACTGTGAAGTTACACTATATGACTAATTTAATGTATTAAAATCACTCTAAATTGCTGTAAAACTCTGACCTGCGAAATTGCATCATGTGACTGCGTGAGACCAATCCAAAATCAAAACATGACCTCCCTGTATGAAAATGTAAAATATGGTCTAATCGATCGCTTTTTCATGTCTAATCGTCTTGTTTAATCCTGCCAGTTTTCGCAGCGCCATACAACAGAATTTCACAAGCTCAAACTCTAGTGTGACTGTGGCGTATCTTGCAGTTATTGAGATAATTGAGTTATTGAGATAACAATATAGATATTTTTGTCAAGAACATTTTCACTAAATGTTTTCATGCGATGTCTCCAAATTTATCCACAACCAATTCATTTAGTATATTATTATATTCATTAATTTAGCTACTCCATCATGCAACTAACTAACTTAATCCATTTCGTCATGACCGTTAGCCTACTCTGTGTGACCCCTTGTGGTTGCAAATACAGTAACAGTAAAATGGCGAGTGTGTCAAGTATGAAAGCCGAGTAGGGCCTTTTTGCGAAAGGCAAGACAGGGCTGTTACATGAAGGTGCCTTAGGGGCGTAATTTGAAGTTATGGAGCCATGTTAAAACTATGTTGTCGGCTAGATGGCTCTGTACATCAGTTATTAACGTCTACACCTTCCCTAACCCCAAACCCAACCATCACAGTTATTAACGTCTACACCTTCCCCAACCCTAAACCCAACCATCACAGTTATTAACGTCTACACCTTCCCCAACCCTAAACCCAACCATCACAGTTATTAACGTCTACACCTTCCCCAACCCTAAACCCAACCATCAATTCTTAAACTCTACACCTTCCCTAAACCTGGTTTGATTTTATTTTCACTTTTATCCGCGACAACTCTGGATTAGCTGAGAGGTCTTTGCGGATGTAAGTTAAGAGCCGGGACAGGGGTTGTTAGTCGCGGACGAAAGTGAACAGAGGGCGGGTGAGGAGGGAGATTGGTCAAATGAGGTGCCGGATCCGATTTTAGAGGTGCCGGATCCGGCTTGTTCTGGCCCAAATTAATCCCTGGGTAGGTGTAATTGTTAATAACTGATTAGTACAGTGACATCTTGCTGAAAACATAGTTTTGACATATGGGTCTCCATAACGTCATGTTACGCCTCAACTACAATTAACGCCTCCTTCATGTTATGCTCATCTTGCAATTCGCAGACAGACGCTACTCCAAAAATACACTGCAATAAATGTTAAATAAAAATAAATAATTAATTCATCAAAGAGAAAAAATCAATAGAACAAAAAAATATATAATTTACCTGAAATGTTGTAAAAAAATTAACAAACAAATAAAAAAGTAAATGTATTATCTTCCTACATTTAAAGATATTAGATTATCAAATTCTTATTTTAATGACGTCAAAATATATCCTCTATAATCACTGACCAATAATTCATGGTTCAAATAGTTATTAATTTTCAAAAGGGGCAGTACTCATTTATGCTGTGTGTGTGCGCGCGCGCGCGTGCGCGTATTGACAAATTCTATCTTGAATAATCATTAACCTTATCAATAAACATTACTTGTACTGTAATCAATCAAAAGATAAATAGATAATGTAACAAGAAAATTATAACAGATAGCTAATGCATAAATTTTAATAATGTGTGATTTGATTTTAGTATTAGTGTATTGATTGATTCAAAATAAGCGTACAGGGATCTCAACTCTAGACTGAAGCTCATATACAGTATATAACAAAGAAAGCCCTCTCTTGAGGAAGAAGACCGACTCCCCTCCGTCAGTTCGTGACATCCGCACCCCCTGAGCACATAAAGCTATTATTCCAGTCTCCTGCTCTGTCTGGCCTGATGAACGGCCGCTGAAAACATCCTGCGCTTGACATCGCTGAGAAATGGCAGGCGAATCAAGCTGACACGAATGAGACAATACAGCAAGCTCTTTAGCGGTGGGATATCTGATTCACTTCAATGAGTCGGTTCGTACAGAATGTTCGATTAAATGATTCGATTCTTTCGAGTCGCCATTTTAAAACGTGTCTTTCCAGTTTCTCAATCATTCATTCAGTAATTCATTCAGAGACATAGACAAATACTGCTAAATATTTGTTTTAACATTTTGAATGTTAGCTTTTTGTTTCTATATTAGGCCTAATATTATATGTACAAAATAGGCTAGCTATATTTTTTGTATTATTCTCTTAAACCTTACTGGAATTATGTGTATTGTTTTGTATGTTTTAATTAATCCTGTAGTATCTTTTAAATTATGTTTGTCTGAAAGTAACATAACTTCAATTCTCAGTATGTCTGTACAGCAGAATTGACAATAAAGCTAACTTTTGACACATTATATACGGCTTTATTTTGTCGATTTTCTGTTTTAACTTAATATATGTCCTTACTTAAAGATTTATGGCTTTAACTTATCTACCACAACGCTATAGTATATCAGATATCATCAAATGGTAGTAATCTCTGGCCAATACTTTTAAATGAACCAACGAACCGACTCAATTGAACAACTCTTTTGCGAGCCGGGCAACTCTACGCTGTGAACCGAGCGTGAATTATGCATTCGAACTAACAAGGGAAAGTGATGCTCAGAGAGGAGGACAGAGGACTCGGAGGATGCATTAAAAGGGCGATGAAGTTATTTGAAGCGGGTTCTCGTCGCAGCGTTATAGCTACGCACCAATGATTCATTTAGTTTAGTGTTTTATCGCCACGAATCGCGGAGTGGATTTTTTTTGCAAAGGAGAAAGCGATAGTCGATATCGGATGGTAGGTGAAAGAAAAGAAACAGGAGGGTTTTATGTGTGTAATAATGACTTAAAGGCTACAGCGGACCGTCACTTAATTTCTGATTTACAGCTTGATTAGCGTGGAACTTCGCAATTACAAGGAAATAAAACCCCGTTTTTATTTTCTATCTCAATGGATGGAGGGACAAGCAAAGGAAGGGGTGTTTTATAATATAGGTAAGTTCTCTTATTATTGCATTTTGCTGTCTGAGGAGATCACATTAAATCGCAATGCTGTATGAATGAATGTGAGTCCACTGTATTATGACAACAGACGCGTTTAGCGCAGTCAAAATTAAGCAGAACTGTCACCGCATACAAAGCAACTGCTGAGACTTTCACCATTTTCGGGGTTCTTGCAAGAAAAATGACATGCTAGTGAATGCAGCCTGACAAGCAGTACATTTGAGCTGTCCACACGTGCTGTGTGTTTCTGCGCAATCTATTAATTGTTGCTCTATGTACACACGCGTTTTTGGACGCGTCGCGTCGAGAGCGTTATTGGCGTTTCAAGGCGCATGTATTTGGGATAGCCTTATAATAGTTCATCCTTGATAAAATGTGTTCCGTTTCATTAAATTGTTCTCCATAAGGAGATTAAATGGGTGTTTTAATCGTTTCGTGCGAAAAGTTCGTGTGCGCGCGCTGGTGCTCATTACCTCATGATAAACGCTTGTGTGTTCTGGCTTTGGCGCGAATAATTTCCATTCATAATATGCAAGTGTTTCCAGTTTGACTGGGAGTTACATGTACCCCCACTGGTTAAGCATGCTCTGTAGCTGCCTTTAAATATTTTTTTCATTGATGCAGCACATTACCAGCAAACAATTTTGTGTTTATTAGACGTCCACTAGACATCTAAACGTAGACAGCTTGGCCAAAACAAGGCTAAACTTGGCTGTCAGAGAAAATAATAGACATCCAAGAATAGCCCAAAACTAGACTAGTCGACAAATAGACAGATTACACAGACTTTGTGTAGTCATTCATTTTCTGTTTATTTGATGACTGGTCTAGTTTTGGCCTATTCCGTATAGACGTCTATAAGACTTTCACTGACAATTTTAGTCTTGTTTTAGCTAAGACGACCATGTTTAGACGTCTGTTAGACATTTAAAAATAACAAAAAAAGCTTGCTGGGTTGTTTTCATGCTCTAGTAAATTCCGTCAAGACAGGTGTAGGGGTAAATGAATGTTATTAAATGGCATAAACTAAAACAACTTTTTAATTTAATTAAATGTAACCCAAGAGATATACTCTTCAAGGTACTGTAAACTATTTCTGTGGACACCAAAAGTAAATCGTGCCTTCTACCTGTCACTGATGTTGGGAAAAATAACACCTGTGTGATATAAATCGGCGAAAAGGAGTCAGGAGACTGGCCATGCTTTCTTTATTACCAATGGGAAGAGCTTTCTGCCTGTCAATCACTTTGATTTTTCAGATTACTGACATTGGGTAGGTTGACATGTCTCTGAAGGGCGGGGTTTGGGAGGAAAAAATGTTACATGTACCTACCGGTTAAGTAGCTGTAGCAGCCTTTTTTTCCATTGATGCAGTACATTTCCAGCAAACAATTTTGTGTTTATTAGACGTCTACTAGACATCTAAACGTAGACAGCTCGGCTAAAACAAGGCTAAACTTGGCTGTCAGAGAAAATCTAATAGACATCTAAGAATATCCCAAAACTAGTCGACAGATTAGACAGACTTCATACATATAGTCATTCACTACTGCTTATTTGACGACTTGTCTAGTTTTGGCCTATTCTTAGACATATATTAGATTTTCACTGACAGCCCAAATTTAGCCTGGTTTTAGCTAAGACGACTATGATTACACGTCTATTAGACATCTTTTAAAAACAAAAAAAGCTTGCTGGGTTGTTTTCATGCTCTAGTAATTTCCGGCAAGACAGGTGTAGAGGTAATTGAATGTTTTTAAATAGTGTATACTAACACAACCTTTTAATTTAATGAAATGTAATCCAAGAGATATGTTCTTCAAGGTACTGTAAGCTATTTCTGTGGACACCAAAAGTAAAACGTACCTTCTTCTACCTGTCACTGGTGTCGGGAAAAATAACACCTGTGTGTTATAAATCGGCGAAAAGGAGTCAGGAGACTGGCCACGCTTTCTTTATTACCAATGGGAAGAGCTTTCTGCCTGTCAATCACTTTGATTTTTCAGATTACTGACATTGGGTAGGTTGACATGTCTCTGAAGGGCGGGGTTTGGGAGGAAAAAATGTTACATGTACCTACCGGTTAAGTAGCTGTAGCAGCCTTTTTTTCCATTGATGCAGTACATTTCCAGCAAACAATTTTGTGTTTATTAGACGTCTACTAGACATCTAAACGTAGACAGCTCGGCTAAAACAAGGCTAAACTTGGCTGTCAGAGAAAATCTAATAGACATCTAAGAATATCCCAAAACTAGTCGACAGATTAGACAGACTTCATACATATAGTCATTCACTACTGCTTATTTGACGACTTGTCTAGTTTTGGCCTATTCTTAGACATATATTAGATTTTCACTGACAGCCCAAATTTAGCCTGGTTTTAGCTAAGACGACTATGATTACACGTCTATTAGACATCTTTTAAAAACAAAAAAAGCTTGCTGGGTTGTTTTCATGCTCTAGTAATTTCCGGCAAGACAGGTGTAGAGGTAATTGAATGTTTTTAAATAGTGTATACTAACACAACCTTTTAATTTAATGAAATGTAATCCAAGAGATATGTTCTTCAAGGTACTGTAAGCTATTTCTGTGGACACCAAAAGTAAAACGTACCTTCTTCTACCTGTCACTGGTGTCGGGAAAAATAACACCTGTGTGTTATAAATCGGCGAAAAGGAGTCAGGAGACTGGCCACGCTTTCTTTATTACCAATGGGAAGAGCTTTCTGCCTGTCAATCACTTTGATTTTTCAGATTACTGACATTGGGTAGGTTGACATGTCTCTGAAGGGCGGGGTTTGGGAGGAAAAAAGGTTACATGTACCTATCGGTTAAGCAGCTGTAGCAGCCTTTTTTTTCATTGATGCAGTACATTCCCAGCAAACAATTTTGTGTTTATTAGACGTCTACTAGACATCTAAACGTAGACAGCTCGGCTAAAACAAGACTAAACTTGGCTGTCAGAGAAAATCTAATAGACATCTAAGAATATCCCAAAACTAGTCGACAGATTAGACAGACTTTATATGTGTAGTCATTCACTACTGCTTATTTGACGACTTGTCTAGTTTTGGCCTATTCTTAGACATCTATTAGATTTTCACTGACAGCCCAAATTTAGCCTGGTTTTAGCTAAGACGACTATGATTACAAGTCTATTAGACATCTTTTAAAAACAAAAAAAGCTTGCTGGGTTGTTTTCATGCTCTAGTAATTTCCGTCAAGACAGGTGTAGGGGTAATTGTATGTTTTTAAATAGTGTATACTAACACAACCTTTTAATTTAATGAAATGTAACCCAAGAGATATACTCTTCAAGGTACTGTAAGCTATTTCTGTGGACACCAAAAGTAAAACGTGCCTTCTTCTACCTGTCACTGATGTTGTGAAAAATAACACCTGTGTGTTATAAATCGGCGAAAAGGAGTCAGGAGACTGGCCATGCTTTCTTTATTACCAATGGGAAGAGCTTTCTGCCTGTCAATCACTTTGATTTTTCAGATTATTGACATTGGGTAGGTTGACATGTCTCTGAAGGGTGGGGTTTGGGAGGAAAAAATGTTACATGTACCTACCGGTTAAGCATGCACTGTAGCTGCCTTTTTTTCCATTGATGCAGTACATTCCCAGCAAACAATTTTGTGTTTATTAGACATCTACTAGACATCTAAACGTAGACAGCTCGGCTAAAACAAGGCTAAACTTGGGCTGTCAGAGAAAATCTAATAGACATCTAAGAATAGCCCTAAACTAGACTAGTCGACAGATTAAACAGGCTTTATACATATAGTCATTCACTTCTTTTTATTTGACAACTAGTTTAGTTTTGGCCTATTCTTAGACGTCTATTAGATTTTCACTGACAGCCCAAATTTAGCCTGGTTTTAGCTAAGACGACTATGATTACACGTCTATTAGACATCTTTTAAAAACAAAAAAAGCTTGTTGGGTTGTTTTCATGCTCTAGTAATTTCCATCAAGACAGGTGTAGGGGTGTATGTATAGGTGTATATATATATATTGTGATCGTTTATTATTAAACGTTTATTATTATTATTATTTGTTGAGCCTCTCCATGTAGTTGTATATATCGCTTGGACCCAGAAGCTGCTTTGCATGGCGTCACACTTAACAAGCAGATAGTGTTGAAAGGAACACCAGTTTGTAATATAAAGCAAGCTAATAAGCTATTTTTACAGCTAAAATTTAATTGGAAGAAGGCCAGACACATTCGATTTATAAGCCTATTATTAGGTGAAATACAAGGTGGATGAGTCTGCCATAGAGTGTATGGTTTTCTAAACATTTGATAAACGGCTTACAAATCAGTGTTGATTTCGTTGACAAGATTTTTTGTTATAATTTTCGTAAAGGAAAAATTTCCACTAACGAAAACTTGACGACAATTAACGGATAATGATGACGACTATAATAAAAATATACTGACATTTTCATTGATTGATAAAAAGGAGACTGTGATTGAGGGATGTATTTAGGTAAATATCCAATCAGAATTAATCTTGGTGTGTGATGACGTGCACACACACACGCACACATTTGAAAAGTATCTGATCCACAGTCGACGCGGGATGCGATTACGCCATAGGGGCGTCTGTCAGATTAAACTAAAATGAATGGCATAAATGAATATATTTGTATACATAAATAAATGTATACAATATTTTAATTAAATTACAATTAAATTAAATCAAATATATTTTAGTCATGTCGTCTGGTTCGAGCCTCGAGTTTGTACGTTCTCCCCGTGTTCGCATGGGTTTCCTCCAGATGCTCCAGTTTCCCCCACAAGTTCAAAGATATGCGCTATGAGTGAATTAGCTATGCTAAAATTGACCATAGTGTATGTGTGTGAATGAGTGTATGGGTGTTTCCCAGCGATGGGTTGCAGCTGGAAGGGCATCCCCTGCGTAAAACATATGCAGGATAAGTTGGTGGTTCATTCTGCTGTGGTGACCCTAGATTATTAAAGGG